AGGCAAGGAGACAAAACTTAAGAGTGCAGCTTTTTTCCAGTGTTAGGATTGTTTATTAGTGTCATGTTACTTGTTTGTTTGGCTTACAAAAATTCATTTCCACAATCTCCACATACAGATGCAGGTCCTGAAGGTTGTTTCAGGAGATGTTTTGTCTAGTATATGTTTGATACTCTTACTTGTTGCTTATTATTTTAAACTGCTCAAGCTCCATATTTTGTGAATTGAATGTCTGTGCAGTTCAAAGCTGTTGAATTTGATAGTGTGCAATGTTTGGAAAGTTTCTTTTTTGGGAGCTTAGAGTGCTTTATCTCTTAATTTCTGATTTTCTATGTCAATTTTGGAAAAAAAAGAAAGAAAAATATGAATTTTTAAGCAATTGTAGTGATTTACCCTGTTCTAGGCTGGACAGTAGTTGTCTTTCATTTCTCATGGCTCTTTTCCATTTCCATGTAAACGTAAATCTTTAAGTAGGAATTATATTGTAATTTCATATGCTTACTAGAGATTTAAGTTAAATTGGTGCTTCAATTCTAGCATCCAAATTGAACTCGTCCTAGTGATTAAAGCTGTCCAATCATAGAAAATTAGTGCCCAGATCATAAAGTTTATTTATTTATTTAGTTTATATTTAGGTACAAACACATAAGTTCATCTTGACAGCATAGATTCCTGAAGTATATTCTGGTGTAACACTTTTACAAAGTCAAACTAGTACTACAAGCTGATTAGTTATAACTGTACTTGTAAGTTGAAAGCCTATTAATGTGAAAACTCTCTAATTATAAAGCGAAAATGCAACAAGTTTTCGATGACTGTTGAGCATATGTGTAATGTATGGCTTGCATTGTTTATTTTTGCAGTGTACATTGCAGATTGTTCTTGGTACAAAAAAAAACTGATGCTAATGCTAAGATGTAAAGTCAGCAATAGTTCAGTTAGTGTTTAGAACCACCATAATCAAGCTTCTGATTACAAATGATTGAGTGTAAGGGGCTGTTTATTAGGGGCATTTATTTAAGTTATTGTGAAAGACTGAAGCTCAACCATTAATCTTTGTGTGTGCTCAAACTGAAAGGGCCTAGATTTTTTCACTCTCCCAAGTCTCTGTTAGATGTATGTTGGGAATGAATACAGACTCATCAAAACTCTTAAGTGAACCCAATAGCAGTCAGCAGAAGAACTACTGTAAGTACAGTGTTGCTTAGTTTGGGAGCCTGAAATGTTATATTGACAAATGTTCTTGCAATGTTAAAGGCTTTTAAGCAGCACAACAGCAATTATGTGCTCGATTAAGGCCTTCTAACTTGGTAGCATATATGTTTTTGTTGTCATTTTGCTTTTATTGGTCAAATTTCTTTTCAACAGACAGTGTGAGCCTAAAGAGATGTAAGTTACTTTTCATCCAGTAAAATGTTTTGAAAAAAAAAAAAACTTAACAAAAAAAAAACCTTAGTATTTCAGACTTGTTTAATGAAGTTATCTGCACTCACACAAATTGCTCTCATATCCACCTTATTTTTCAGTGCTGAAATAAGCTATTTATTAAGCATAATGCATTTTTTTTTACAGCTAAAAATAAATAAAATAATAATAAAAAAATGAAATGTCTGACACCGAAAGCCTTACACATTTCTGTTAGAATGACTGTGCCACTTCAAAATAAGAGGGATACTTCAACAGGGCAGCTTTTATTCCACATTTCTTTTCAATACACATTTCCACATATATACAAGTTTACCGTTTTCCATCTACTTATTGAACTTTTCCAAAAAAGCTGCCATAAGAAATGTTAGCTGCCTTGCTAACTTCTGCTAGAGCCCTCTGGAAGATTTACATTCCCCCACCTCACCCAGGTTTTGGTTTTTGCTACTGCATCTTTAAGAGATCTATATGTAAATTAACTCTTATGATTGGCCAAATTGCTGAATACTGATTTCTAGCCATTTTGAATGGTTTAATGGGTGTATAGTTATAACTTCTGAATGACTTGTTTGTTTCAACATATTTTTTTTCTACCAAGTTTATATATATATATATATACTGTATGTATATATGCATGAAGCTTAGGGAACTTTTGAAGGTCATTGTCAGACATACTCTGAAATATATATATACAGACTGATTTTAAATTCATTGCCTGTACATCATATGTACAATGCCAAGCCAAAAAAATTTGCCATTTGGAGTTAAATAAGCAAATACTGAAGAGTCTAGGATTGGATCATTATTGCAGAGATTAATATGTTTCTGTCATGTTGATATATATTTTGAAACAATTCTTTTAACCTGAACTGATGCAGTGTAGCTTTTAATTTCTTAAACAACCATGCTGGAAGATAGTTGTTTGAGAAATGAAAAGCTACACACTGCATCAGTTAGGATGTTAAAAGAATTGTTGCCAAACATACATGTCAGAAACATATTAATCACTGCAATAATGATTAATTTCTAAATTCTTATGTGCTTATTTAAACTAAATCAGGCTTTTTATTTTGTTTTTATTAATTAATTTTTTTTTTTTTGACAGGCAGTGTATGTATAAAATACAGTATTTCAAGAGGTCTTCAAAAAAGGATGCATATATTCAGATCTTATCCTCTAGATGGCGTACTTTACACACTAGCCCTTAGCTTTCCTTGATCCCTACTTTTGGTGCATGAAGGACAATATATCTCGAATATATCTTTTAAAGGGTTCATATGATGCGATTTCAAGTTTTCCTTTCTCTTTGGAGTGTTACAAGCTGATTGTGCATAG